AAAAAAAGATTTGTGGGGGCAAATAAGAGACAAAAGTATTTCAATTATAACAGCTACTGAATACTTAATATTGAAATTTAAACACCACTGAATCTTTTCAAAGCACGGAAATATTTTTTTGAAAACCATGTATCTGAATTTATTTGTTCTAATTTCACCTCACAGTTGTTCACAGTTTCAGATAAAAAAAAATGTAAGTGTCTAAATAAAAAAAAGTTTGCTACATATATAGGTATAGATAGATAGATAGATAGATAGATAGATAGATAGATAGAGTTTGCTCAGACCATATATTTGTTTTATAGGGGTCAGAGCAGCGACTGCTGCTGGAGTCCTATTGTTTTTGTTGTCACATTGCATCAAATCAGGTGGCTTTTATGGCTTTAACAAGTCTTCATTTGAAGCTAAAACTGCTAAAGTGACCTGTTCATCAAATGATGTATAGGTCCATCCGTGCTCATATATCCTCCTCAGACCTCAGCTTTTGTTTGGTATGCATTTTTCATTTCTCTGAGCTATTTGGGAATGTAGGATCTGATAAGTATAAAAAAACAAGCATTGTCTTTCAACAGGAAGTAGTTTTGGGGAAAAATGTCCTTATATGGGGACAATGGGTTTATTTTCAATAGTTGCACATATGTAGTAAGTTATAAAATTACAAACATTGCAACAACTGTTTAATGTGTTGTAAATGCATCGGTTAGAGGTGACTGTTCGGGTCTAAAACTGATCAAAACTGTTTATTTCAATGCTTGAACATGGATGTGCAAAACCAAAATTGCAAATAATGCAACACATCTAAAAACCTTGTGATCTGTTTGTTTTGTAACTCTGTAAATTTTCCTTGCTCCGTACTCCAGTCTACAAATGTCCTTATGGGAACAGTCTGTCACACATAATTGGCCTGTGTGAAATGCTGGAATAATACATTATAATATAGTCCCAATGTCCTAATCAGGTACTTCCTGATTAACAGCATTTTAGCTTGTTACTTTGGCTAAAATTTATCAACTTTGTATGCCAGATCAACCTACAGATGTTGTTCAGCACAAATAAACAAGTTTCAACCATAAAATTTAAACAGGTTATGTACCTTGTCCACTTTTGTGTACTACTATTTCTACAATTTTTTTTTTAACTCATTCACTGTTTGTATAGTTTATTGTTATTGTGTTTGTACAGCAAATAATAAGGTGACCACCAATAACAAACATACATAGAATAATTTACAAGATCAAATACAAAGAGATACATAACATTATGTATTACTACCACTGATAATAATATGTTTTAATGTACAATGACTCAAAACCTCACCTTTGGTTTGACTCCAGCACAGCAAACTCATCACCAGAAACAACATGTCTGATTCCTTTCTCATCCTTTCTGTGTGTCCGTTCCTGACCTGTCACTGTCTGCCTCAGGACGTTTCTAGTTTCGCTGTCAGGTATATTTCAAACTGACTTTCACATGGTAAGTACTGACTGATCTTCTGACTGACAGACGCTGCTGACCTAAATCCCTGACAGGATGTACATCGCTGCAGTTTTGAGCTGATGAAGGCTGTGATAACCATAGCAGAAAAGGTTTCTGATGATAACGCTGACCATAAAGTCACCTGCAGTGCTGAAAAGTAGACAGAAAGCACACATGAACGAACAGTAACACTGATGTTAGTGCAATAACAGGAAGTCTTTTGTTGTTATCTATCCAAACAAAAGGACAACTGACACCCTGTAACTAGACTAACAAAGCAAAAACAATGTATCTAATAGATTATACTGGCTTTACTGTACTTTATGATGTTTTTAATGTCCATGGAGTTTTAGTGGTCACTCTATTTTTTTCTATGAGGGTTTTAGACAAAGATGTAAATGAATAACATAAAAGTAGCAAATGATAAGTTCAAAATAAGTCTACACAACTGAACCAAGATGTGTATGATACTGTAGTTTATTTGGCTCATTACATTGTGTAGGAAAAATACGCTCCATGAACTCAAACTTTATATTTTGTTTAGCTCTGTATGACAGCACATTTGAAATTAAAGATTACACTGAAAGTAGTTTTAACTTAATGTGTTTCAAATCTTACTATGTTCACAACTTGGTCAGATTAAAGCTGTAGCTAGTAACTTTTTGTCAATTTTGTTGGAACTGTCGCTACATTCTGACAGTAGTACAAGAGACAGATAATCTGTGGAAAATCTGTTCTTCCCCCTCCACATAGAATGGTAAATGGATGGACCTGCATTTGTATAGCGCCTTTCTAGTCGTTTGACCACTCAAAGCGATTTTTACGCTATAAGTCACATTCACCTATTGGTGGCTGAGACTACCATACAAGGTGCTACCTGCTATTCAGTTTTTAACTCACTCACACACCGATGGAAGCATCATCGGGAGCAATTTGGGGTTCAGTATCTCGCTCAAGGATGCTTTGACATACCGACAGGAAGAGCCGCCGATCAAACCTCTGATCTTCCAATTGGTGGACGACCTGCTCTACCTCTGAGCCACAGCCGCCCAATGCACCACACGTGGATGAAAATAACCCATTAAAGCCAAGGAGTCTCTGACACAGCTGTCAATCACTGCTAGTGAACTGTAGTCAAACTGTCAATCAAGGCAGCACTGATCAAATATCAATCATCCTTCTGTTACTGTATTGCCTATTTCTCTCCTCAAATGTTTTCAGAAAAATATTTTAGTGTACTCTATAGCTGCAAATAAGAACATTTGTGACTCGGCCGCTATGTTTAAAGCAGTCTCATTGTTCTCATTTTACAGCTAAACAGTGCACAACATTTCACAAGCAGTAACTGACAGCTGCATTAGAGACTACTCAGCTCTGATTGGTTGTTTTTCAACAGCTGAAATGAATTTTAGCAAATGGCATCCATCAGACAATTTCGGCATAGTACTCTTAGAGCTGTATTTAACCCATGCAAACATGTCCCTAAACCATCGATCTGCTTTGCGTTCCTACCACAGACAGTACTCTTACTGTAGGAAAAGTTGTTAATATATGGTAATAGCCACATCACTGCTCCATCCAGCTCTTGCTGTATTTCCTCTTCACGAGGATGAAGCAGAGGAACATCTGTGCCTCACTGATCATCTTCAGACTAGGTTGCATGACATTTTTAAAACAAAAAAGAACAGTTGTAGACCACTTTGTTCTCAACATTGTCAGTGGCCACTTTGTTCTCAAAGTTAGGAAATAGAATATTAGCAATTCACACAAATCACTTGAAATTCAACTACATTTTGTTTTAATGCATATGTCATGCAAGAGAAATGTTAAAGAAATGAAATGGTCAGAGTTGCCATATTGACTTACCACATCAACTCATGCAAAACATGCAAAAAAACATTCCACTTTAAAATATGCCAGCAGCTGCTAGCAGTAGCCTTTGCGTGATGAATCTGATCACATTTTTCTCAATCTATAGCTATCTTTGAACTAGTAAAGACGAAAAGGCAGCAAAACAGCCTTTCATCTTAAATGTTATCAGGTACAGTGGCTACATAACTTTCGAAATGAGCCCCATGCTTATCATAGGTGCACTGTGGTACTTAAACAACTAACACTAACATTATTAGAGTCTCTGTTACAATAGATGGGAAATTTTAATTGTGGGTTTGTGGTTTGTGCACCGTGTCCTTGTAGATAAAGTGTTTCAATTCTTTATCGACCAATCAATGGACTGCAGAGTTTCTAGATCTGCCTTTTAGTATCGGATCAGCGTGCTTAGTACCTCAGTGGAAGGGTGACAAGAAAAGCTATGGATTGGAACATTTCTGTTGATACTATCAACAACTTTTAACAATGGAAACACAAACATAACACTTCTAATGTGTAACAAACTGAACTGCACTGCACCAGACTGTTTGGTGCAATACTGTGTGAATGTAGTGACAGTATTTTAGCAACTATATCAAACAGTTATTTTCCTAAAAGTTACCAGCTGTAGCTTTAATCTTTTAAAAGGTCACTAGGCAATGTTTGTTGCTGTACCCCGACCACCCATCCTCATCCCTAACCCTTATTATATGTCCAGAGATGGCAGTTCCAACCAGTGCTCCTGTGCTGGAACATTAAGTGGCCTTACATTATTAAATATTTTTGTGTACAGCAAACAGCAAATTAATTAAACATTACTTTTGCACAATATCAACTAAAATCGTATACAGTAGATTGTTACACAGGGCCCCTCTACAAGACATGACCACAGTTTAAAGATAATGCAGGACACACATTAGTTAATATTGTATTTTTGTGGTGCAAATTCCATAGAAAAGGTGCAATTAATCAGAGTACAAAAGATGAGTTTACACTATGAACTAGTGCTATTGGTGCAAATGGGGCCCTGGAACAGTTGTCCACTTTGTCTGGTTTGTAATCCAGCCTTGGTTCATAACCATATTAGGTGGCCAAGTCTTTACCTCAAACCATTACATTATGTGCATGTGATTTACTTGCTGAAAACTAAGCTGAAGGCAAAAACCCCTTTAACAAGTGAGAACCGAAGGCTGTAGTAGGCCTAAGGCCTGGTAGAGCATCAGCAGGGAGGATTTCAATCTGCTCGATGTTTGTGATTCACAGGCTTTAATAACTGTAAAGGATTCATGACCAGATATTACATGGATGATGAAAAAGTTACTTGTATTTTTTTCAATTCAAATGAAATCTCCTGGAGCACAGAGCCGACAATGTCCAGATTGGATACAGATATTAAAAAAAAAAGAACAAAAAAAAGACACATAAAGTTAGTAAAACATACACACACTCGTAGTTATTCCAGCAAGTGCTGATGAAAATAAAAACAACTTTTCACCACAAATCAAAGTGTGCGTGACCCTCTCTCACGTACACACACAGTCACACATACGCACACACAGATTTTCTGTCGATATTCTTAAGAGCAGTTTACGCTGGTCCCTTCCGTTCACTGCGGCGTACTTAGCTCCATCTACGCAAATTACGTTACGGTCACTGGTGAGGCTTTTCAGCTGGTTAGCCAAACATCCACAGAAAAAGAGATGAGCAGGAAAACGAGACGAAGAAATTAGGAACAATTAATTATACGCTAGAAAAATAGCGACAGAAAGAAAATCTGTTTAGGTACGTAACCTCTTTTTTGAACTTTGTAAAACTGTGTTTGTTAAATTAGCTAACTGAGTTTATGAATGACTGTATGTATGGGCAGAAATTCAGCGTTAGCCAACATTGGCTAGTTAGCTGCCTGGCTAACGTTAGCTTCTGTCAGGCTACGTCTTGTTACGACCACAGAGGCTAGTAAACGCTAGCTGGGTAGCTAGTTGTTGATATGGTTCACTAGCTATGATAATCACTACTGCCCGTTACTGTTGTCGTTGTTGTATTATCTGACACTACTTTGGTTCATTTCCTACTGCATTCACTTCACTTAACTATTTCACAATTGTTTCAATGAAGCTAACGTTGTCAGGCTACACTGAGGCCAAACATTGACACACAAACTACTGTGGCCTAAACCTAACTTCCTGCGTTACTTAGCTCGATTGATAGTTTGACGTGCAACAATGCTGTATTATGTTTTCCAAAATAGGCAACCAGCTAAGGTTTGGTAACGACAGCGAGTGCAGACGTGTAGGTAGCAGATTGAGCAGTCGCTGCTGCCCGAATGTTTAAATGTGCTGCAGTCGAATCAGCTAACGTTAGCTGCATTAGCAAACCTTAGCCCCTTTGCTCAAAAAGCTCATCACCTTAACACTTTTCTGTTCTAAATCTTTAAATTGTGACGGCTTGCGACGACCTTGAACACAGTGTTTAACAGTCTCTGAGGTTGGCTTTTAAGTATTCTCAGCTACCTGAAGCCATTTTTCGAGATTAGTTAGAGTGGGTGCTGCTAAGTTTATCATTGGAGTGTGGGTGGTGAGACAAGGCCATGTTAATACAGCTAGATGTATTGTATTTCCCTTTAAATATCCCTCACAAAAATCATCAAGACATTTGTACTGCCTGCGAAGAAGAGCTTGAAATGAACAGATTGAAAATTAGGGTAAAGGCTTTTGTTCCCATAGGGGCCACTGTCACTACTTGCACTCATTTTTAGTTATAGTGTAGTGTAAGGTGCCATGGATACACAAATAACCTTTAAGAAGGATATACATTTGCAATTTTGTAGTACCATACCCAACAACAATTAATGTAGGACAGAGTGGACTGGCAATGTAGAGACAGCAGTAAACATAGTAATTTAGCCACCATTAGAGTGAAGGAAATACAATCACTTGTGAACAGCCTTAAATTGAAATGTATTGAAAAGATGCCATATAATTCTATGATTTGAGCAAAAAATGTTAAAGAATAAATTTTAAAATTCACACGTAGTTCCTATGATTCAAGACAGTCCAAAAATATCAATAAACATGAACAACTTTCTTCTAAATTTAAAAACGAGAGAGCTAAAACTTGTGGTGTCAGGGTGTAAACTCTGGAGCTGCTCCTTTGACAATTACTCGGGAAAGATGTTATAGATGATAACTGAGAGCACTGTTCTGAGAATATGGGTTCCTTTTCTGTTTCTGGACTGAGAACACTACAACTGAATAAAGATCTTTTGGGTATAAAAAATAAAACAAACATCTGTGGGCGTAGAAAGTCAAGCTCCCATTCATTGTCTATGGAGCAGCTCCAGACTTTGACATCACAAGTTTGAGACTCACTTCTCTGATTTCTGGCATTGAAAGAGAGTAGCTTATGTTCACAAATATTAATCGAGCTTTCCTTGGCCATGGAAATAATATATTGCTATTTTTAACTTGGGTGGTGTTCCCCTTAAAGGAAACCAAGTGTAGGGTGAGAACATGATGATAATGTGGAGCCAAGGGCTATTATTTTTAGTCAATCTCAGGAACTGTAGAGGACGTTTTTGTCAGTACAGTGTGATTCAATTCAATTAAGGATTTGATTTCATGGATTTATTGGTCTTTTCATAAGTAAAAAGCTTTGAGTTGTTAAAGAGTATTGCTAAAATTTAGGCTAATCATAAATTGTAATTGCTAATCAAACAGTGCAAGTAGAAATCTCTTACCACATTCAGTATATCATCCCTTGCAAATTCATTTTCCCTCATGAGCATTTATTGATGTGATCGCATTTTGCTGTCTGTGAATTACTTTTGTTTAAAACTCACTGTTACCTATAAAAACAGAAGTTATATAACAAGCAAATAGTATAATAGGGGCTGATCCAGAGACTGCAGGCAGATTTTTAATCCTGAAAAGTCTAAATTGGCATATCTAATAAACTGTTCCTGTGCCTCAGATTTTTCTCCTTGTGGAGAAACTGTTGAATCTGTTGTCCCAGTTGCTTAGTAATTGAGGTCAGGTTTGAAGCCTGGGGCAAGCTGTGTAGTGGATACCATTGGGTGTGAGGCTGCATGCAGGTTAGTGTGGGTGTAGTAAATGACTTAACTTTCACTGCTCAGCTTGATGCTGTCAGACAAGAGGATCCAAAATACTGCTGACAAGGACTCGGTGTTGATACCAAAATTGGTGTCTCGATTTCAGTGACAAACAAGTAGCATTTTCAATACCCATATTGATTCACATTTTTTCAAAAATATTTATTTACTTTACATATGTTAAAAAGTATATTTGCCAGTATAGATACCAGTATATACAATGTAATTTTCAGGAGACCATAGGTTTAAGCCTGTCATTTCTGAGTGTTATTGTTTTCAAAATCCCAGTCGCTATGTGAAACTAGTCTCCCATAGCCAGACTTAACTCCACATTTAGCTTTGGTGCTGTGCGTAAAACAACAACAACCTCTGAGTCAGGAACCTACACACTAAAATGTATTTCAGTGTTTTATGTGCCATTTACTGTTGGAAGGATTTAGCTGTTTTAATACCAGCACTCGCTGGTATTTAAAAAAAAAAAAAAAAACGGCTCAGGAAGTTCCCTCCTGAACCTATTTAGTAAGGGCATTGTCACTCCGGCCAGGGCTTTGCTTTCGCTCAATACGATTGTAATTGTTTCAAAGAAATACAAACAACCCTGAGCATTTTGTCTCTTAGTGCGTAATTACGATGGGTTAAGTCAGACCTTTCTCCACAATTGCCACAGTGTGAGATAGGTCTGGCCATGCAAGACTAAGTTTTTAATACAGGCAGGGTATCCGAGGATTCCTTACAGGTCTTAATGATTAAATTTGATTTTGTGTGCAGGTGCCCTGAAAGTTATTGTTATTGTAGCAGACGTTGCGGTGCAGCATGCATTGGAGTCCCTGTGTGTGTATCCTACTGGCTAGGCAATCGCTGACACTCTGCACTATCAGTGTTTCCCATACATTGACGAGACTATGGCGGCCCGCCATAGTTTAATTTCCCCCGCCATAGTCTCCAAAAATTGGCCAGATATAAAATGCCTCTGGTAAATGAACAACACTCTGTAGTGCACTGGCTGGAGTGCCGTCAAAAATAGACCCGACCCGTATTTTTAGCGGAGTGGAGCGCCAAGCCGCTTCTAGGCTGTGGCTAGGAGCGCTGCGGCGCTTCTGGTGGAGCAGCTTATATTGACTTGAATGGCTGCGATTAGCTCCAGCACCCGCGCCTTGGCCAGCTCGCGCAGGCGACAGATCCAGTGGGTTGCCATAAATGGACCTGTCCCAGAGGCATTCAACTACCAGAGGACTTTTGAATTCTTCTTTTTGAAGCTGTGTAAAATGCTCTGATTCAGGGTGCTGTACTTGCAAATCGTGAGGGAGGGAAGCAGTAATTTGTGTCTGTTTGTGTGTAATTAATTTGAGTCTTACCTTTTGTTTTCTTTTTGTATGGCATATTTTGTATTGTTTTGTGTATCTGTAACTGTGTTTGTGAGTGAGAGAGAGAGAGAATGAGAGAGTGAGAGAGAGAGAGTTTTAAAAGAATATTTTGTCTGCACATGATTTAAAATCATAAAATAGCCCTGCAGAGGCAGATCAGTATGTTAGTCATTTTTCTTTTGATTACTGAAATGTTAAACCACTAATCCTTAGCCATATTTTAAGTGTAACCCTTCACCATAACATACCACTAATGTTTTTATCAGTAAAAATCAGGGCTGGACTGGCATTTTTGGCCATGGCGGCCCACTTTGATTGGTGATATGCCATACGTACACACTACGCTGTTACCAAAATTAAAATAAATCTCAGTTGTACCCTACGTGCCCTGGAAGAGAGTACCAAAGCTAGAAAATCAATGTGCTCATTCACTTCTCATATATCCATCAGTGGTTTATACATCAGTGTACATTAGTAGGCTACGCACATAGACGTCGGAACTAGGGGTACGGGGATTTAAACCCGACATTTTTCAGTAAGTTGGCTGTTATAATTAAGAGTATTAAACCGCAATTCTTGTTATTTGAATGACAGAAATATCAAATCTTAATGAATGGTGCAACACGGAAGCATGATTAGGCTATGTAATAAAACAGTTGTTTATTTTAGGATCCAGGTGGTGAAGGGCTGTGCGTGCAAAATGTCCCAACAGGCGACAGCCCTCCATTCCGAAACCCCCCCACTCCGAAATTGATTTCAAGTCCATATCGAGTTGCATCAAACACTGCCGCCTGCTCTCCGGCTGCACTCGCACAATTCTGAAATTCGTTGTAGGCTACTACAAAAGCTTGAAATGAACGTTCAACTCATTGTTTTTTATTGAAAAAATGTCACTGTCTTCATTTATTATGTATAATTTCTCTAGCAGCAAACACATTTAAAGGAGACACTTGTCAAGTCTTTTATATGTGCGCTGTCTGGTGCTGAAATCTCCACTGCAGCCGCCGCTCTCTGCTGACAGCAGACCGGGGGAGAAAAAAAAAAGACATTTCTTTGCTCTGTGCTTTCAGAAAATAACCAGGGTTAGGGGAAGAAAGACCAACGGTCTGTACAGCAGTCCCACCGTGTTTGCCAGGGCATACCAGGCTGTGTGATTATGCACAAAGATTGGTTAACGCATTGGAGCAATTTCATACAATTTCGGACATTTAACATGATAGACTAATTTCAATTCAACATGGTCATTTGCTTATAGAGGATTTAGCTGACGCATAATGAGTGTTATATGTCATTAAGATGAAGTATTTGCT